TTTTGAGACAATGTTTTGCCATGTAGTTCAGGTTGGCTTTGAACTGTGTAGCCCAGGCTGGCCCTGAGCTATATACCTTTATCCTTTTTTTTTTTTTTTTTAATTTTAAGACAAGATCTTCTAACTTGCCCAGGCTGACCTTGAAGTTCTGATCCTCCTGCTTCAGCCTCCATAGTAGTTTGGATTACAGGTATGAGCCACCCCTACTCCTTTCCTTGCAAACAAGACAGGTGTGGTGACATGGGCTTATAATCATAGCACTCAGGAGGCTGAGGCAGGAGGATCACAGTGAGTTTGAGGCCAGCCTGGGCTACATAAATGAGTTAAAAACCAGTGTGTACTATATAGTGAGGCCCTGTCTCAAACAACCCCCTAAAACATTATAGAAGGCATTTTTTTTTTAAGCATCAGATGACTTACTGAATTTCTCTTCTATTTTCTTTTTTTAAATTTTATTTTATTGAGAAACAATTATCAATGAGACAGTTTCAAAACTGATTAATAGGACAGTTTCAACAGTCAACACATTGTACATTGTTATCTTCTTAGCAGTTATCCATAGTACAAGATGCAGACAGAATATCCTGTCCAATATAGAAGCTATTTATGTAAAATGCTAGGGAACTGTAGTGACAGAAGGCCAAACAGTTGTGTCACACATGTATGGTCCCAGAAGTTCAAGGGGCTATGACAAGAGGGTTTCTTGGACTCAGGAATCCAAAAGCAGCACGGCAACACGGTAAGACCCTGTCTCAAAATGAATGAATGAGGTGGTTTGGTTTTTTGAAACAAGATCTCATTATATCTCATTAAGGTTGGCCTTGAACTCACAGCTATCCTCCTGTCTCAGTCTCCCAAATGCTGGGATTATAAGTGTGCACCACCATGTGTGGCTTGAATAATTATTGTTTATTTTAAAAATCAAGTGTGGGGACCAGGGAGATGGCTCAGTAGAATAAGTGCTTCCCTGGCAAGCGCAAGGGACTGAGTTCAATCCCTGGTTCCACCAAAAAATAAATAAATAAATAAAAATAAAGTGTGGCAGGGCAGCGACCTGGCGCGGTGGTCTCTGCGCCTGGCTGTGGAGCGCAAGGTCGCTGGTTCGGGCCCCCGTCCCGACTCTTTCTCTTGGGGACTGGCCTTAGCTCAGTTGTTTAAGTGGCTGCTTCCACAAAGCTGTGTAGTTCGATCCCCACAACACTCCAGCCCACCAAACCACCCCTGAGGGCATTCAGAGCAAAAATAAATAAATAAATAAAGTGTAGCATATGATCATCTACTTTGAGAAGCTGAGGCAGAGTTTGAGCCCTGCATGAACAATTTAGTGAGACACTGTCTCAAGATAAAAAAATTTTTAAAAGGCTAAAGACTTTTTAAAAAGAAGATGAGGGGGAAGAGGAGGCCCTGTGGTCAATGCCCAGTACCAAAAAAACCAAAAAAAGAATCAGTAATTGACTAACAGGTGGAGTAGAGGTAGTCAGAGATTAACTGCATGGGGCAATTAGTAAGGTTGCTGAGCAGTTATTCTATATGTTGTAGTGATGGTTATATGTTTTTTAAAATTCTTTTTATTCTTTTTAAATTTTGTGTGTGTGTGTGTGTGTGTGTGTGTGTGTGTGGCCAGCTCAGCCCACCAGGGGGCGGGGCTGACTGGCATGTGGTGCTGGGGGATTGAACCGCGGTCCCTGTGCTTTACTAAGCTTATTCCAAGTAGGTGCTTTAGACCACTGAGCCATCTCACCAGCCCAGATGGTTATATTATTGTAAATAATTATCAGAATTCAGTAAACACCTTAAAATGTGTGAATTTTATTATGTACAAATGAAGAGAAAAAAAGAAAAAATAAGTATTGTATTACAGACTTTTCTTTTCTTTTTTGCTGGCTTAGCCCGCCCTGGGGCAGGGCTGGTACTGCATGTGGTGCTGGGGGTTGAACTGCAGTCCCTGCACTTGCCTAAGCTTGCCTAAGCAGGCACTTTAGATTGCTCAGCTCTCTTGCCAGCCCTCATATTACAAATTCCTTAAGGCATCCTTTATAATAATATAATATAATAATATTTTATCTCTTATGTTTCCTTTAATGAAGATGTATTGTATTTGTAGTGATTGTTGAGCCCATTCCAGTTGGACAAGCTGCCAAGGACTATTTAAATTTATATGTGATACCAACTCTGCTTGAAGGACTCACAGAGCTTTGTAAGCAAAAACCAGCAGATCCTTTTGTAAGAAATGATTTTATTCTCACTAAAGAAAACTGTCTGTAGTTTTCATGTTTAGAACATTGTGTTTTTTGAAACAATACTATTGGGAACCTTTTTAAAATAAACATTTTTGGGGCTGGAGAGATGGCTCAGTGTAACAAGCACTTCCCTGGCAAACTCAAGGGCCTGAGTTCAATCTCCAGTTCCACAAAAATAAATAAATAAATAAATAAAATAAGCATTTTTAGGGCTGGGGAGATAGCTCAGTAGAATAAGCACCAGCCTGACAAGTGCAGGATCCTGAGTTCAATCCTCAGTACTGCAAATAAATAAATAAATAAGCATTTTTAGAAATATATATTTCTTTTATTTTCTTCTCTTTTTTTGTGGTACCGAGTATTGAACTCGGAACCTTGTGCTAGCCAGGCATGCATTTATGCCACGGAGTTATATCCCTGAAATGTATATTTCTGATACTTATAAACTTTTTTTTTTTTTCTGGAACCAAGGATTGAACTCAGGCTGTTGCGCTTACCAGGCAAGTGCCTATTCTACTGAGCCATCTCCCTGGCCCCATAAATATTTATTACTTATTTTCTTATGTTTATTTCTCATGGTTTCTAATTTTTAAAAATAGAACAAGCCAGGCATGGTAGTACACATTTGTAGTCCCAGAAGCATGGGGAAGACTGAAGCAGGAAGATCACCGTGAGTTCAAGGACAGCCTGAACTACATAGTGAGACCCTGTCTCAAAAAATCCCACAAAAAAAGACTGGGTATGATGGCACAGGACTGTAATCCCAGCTCTTGGGAGGCTGTAAACAGGCAAATCACTATGAGTCCATCTAGTAGTGAGACCCTGAACACCCTGTAGACCCTTCCCTAAAATACAAAAAAAAGAAAGAAAGATGAAAGAAAGAAAGAAAGAAAGAAAGAAAGAAAGAAAGAAAGAAAGAAAGAAAGGTTTAAGAAAAAAAGGGGGCCTGCCCATTAGCTCAGTTGTTTAAGTGCCTGCTTAAACAAAGCACTGAGGCTCAAGATGCTGTGCTTTGAACCCAGATACTCAAACCAAACCAGAAATGCCCTGAAGGCATCTTCAGGCCTCCAAAGAAAAGAAGAAGAAGAAGAAAAGGAAAAAAAAATCTCTCACGAAAGGGCCAGAAAGATAGCTCACCAGCACAAGTGCCTGCCTGGCAAATGCAAGGTTCCAAGTTTGATCCCTGGTTCAGGAAAAAGAAGAAAGAAAAATATTTTGGCCTGCAAGATAGCTCAACAGACTAAGCGCCTGCTTAGGCAAGTATGGTACCAGGGTTCAGTTCGACCCCCAGCACCACAGCACCGGTCCTGTCCCCAGAACTCCCTGAGCCAATCACAGAGACGAGGTCTGGTGGCACAGGCCTGTAATCCCAGTACTGAGGAGGCTGAAAACAGGAGGATCACTACAAGTCTGAGCTGCATAAGTGAGATTCTGTACCACATACATTAGGGAAAAAACAAACAAACAAACAAAAAAACAACTCACAAACCAGTGTGGGGGGGCATTGTGGTGCACACCCTTAATTCTAGCACTTTGGGAGGGTGAGGGAGGAAGATTCCAAGTTTGAGCCTGGTCTGAGGAACTTAGTAATTTAGGGAGACACTGGCTCAAAATAAAAAATAAAAGAGGGCTGTGGTTGTAGCTCCAGTGTGAAGGCCTTGAGTTCAGTCTCCAGTACTGACATATTGTGATAGTAGTTATAGTGATGATGATAATAATAATAATAATAACAACAGTAGGGGGCTGGCCAAATAGCTCTGGATTAAAGTGCCTGCAAGCAGGCACAGAGGCCAGAGGTTTGATCCCTAGGCCTGCTGTGTTGGCCCTGCCCCTGGGGCTCACTGAGATGGCAATTGAGACGGCATGGTGGTGCACACCTATAATCCCAGCACTTAGGAGTAAACAGGTGGATCGCTACAAGTCCGATCTAGTAGTGAGACCCTGAACACCCTGTAGACCCTTCCCTAAAACACACACACACACACACACACACACACACACGCACACACACACACACACACACAAAAAAACAGGATGGGTTAGCTCTAGGTGGAAGTCCACACCTGTAATTCTGGAGATTGAGGCAGGATGATTGAGAGTTTAAAAGCCAGCCAAAACTCTCCATATTGAGTTCAAGATCAGCCTGAACTATATAGTAAGACCCTGTCTCAAAAAAACAAAGCAAAATAAAAACCCAGGCTGGTTGATACAATAAGCAATAGCCCATTTTAACAAAAATTCCTTATTAAAAAAAAAATTCCTTGTAGTGTCTTTTGCGTAAGTGCTTAATAAATTTTTCTCTACTGATTCAAGCTGTCTTTTAAACTGTGTTACCCAAACTGGCCTTGAACTCACCAGGATCCTCTTGCCTCAGCCTCAAAGTGCTAGGGTTACAGGTGTGCACCACCATGCTCATTCCAGTTTTTACTTCTTTTGAGTATATACCTGAGGGCAGTTGCTAGCCATGTGTGGTGGCACACATTTGTAATTCCAGGACTCTCTCAAGGTAAGAAAGGAAGATTGAAAAGTGGAGCCTGGTGCTGGGGAGATAGCTCAGCAATCTAAGTGCCTGCCTGTTAAGTGCAAGGACACAGGTTTGATCCCCAGTACCAAATGCTGTGCCAGCCCTGGAACTCCGGATGTACTGTACCAGCCACGGAAACCAGGCATGGTGGCAAAACACCTATAATCCCGGCACTGGGGATGCTGAGACAAGAAGCTTTTTGTTTTTTGTTTTTTGGGTTTTTTTTGGGCTGGCTCAGAATGCCTTCAGGGCAAGTTTGGCTGGCTTGAGTTCTGAGGATCAAACCACAGCAGCCTGAGCCTGACTGCTTTGTTGAAGCAGCCACTTAAAGAACTGAACTAAGGGGCAGGCCCCCGCTGAGACAAGAAGATCACTATGAATCCAAGTTGCATAGCAGGACCCTGTACCAAATAAATAAATGATTAAAAAAAGAAAATTGGAACCCAGACTGGGCAACTGAGTGACTTAGTGACACGCTGTGTTAGGGTTGGGTGGCAGGGAGGAATAGCACTGAGGATGGAGCTCAGTGTAAAGACCTTGGGTTTAGTCTCTAGTACTGGAAAGACAGAAGTAGAAGTAAAGAGAGAGACAGAGACAGAGAGAGAGGGGGGGGAGAATATAATTTTTTTTACGGGCTGGTGAGATGGCACAGTGGTCTAAAGCACCTACTTAGAACAAGCTTCGCAAAGCACGGGGACCACGGTTCAATCCCCCAGCACCACATGCCAGCCAGCCCCGCCCCCTGGTGGGCTGAGCTGGACACACACACACATGCACACACACACACAC